AGCATGGGCACTTTCTGCTCAGGCTCGGAAAGAACAAAAAAAAAAAGTTGAAAAGTTGCGGCTGTGAACCTCAGAAAAAAAGAAGAAAAAAAAAAGGAAACAAAGCTTTGGTCGTGATTGCAGTTGTATACATTCGTGGAAGTGGTAGTGTGAGTGTGCCCTCAATGAGGGCATCTCAGCCCTCTGACCAGGTTGTCAGATTCCAAAAAGAGAATAGAATGGGAAAAAAACGGGCACATGGATCCGGCCGTGAAAATGGCTGGATACATTTCCCTAAGTGCCCATGTGATGAGCCTTACAATCCTCTGACAAAACACAGCTTGAGCAGATCACGGACAGCTTGAGCAATTCACGGACACAGGACTCGTAAGAATGTGACAGATCCTTTTCTCCCAAAAATGTAAGGGACACTGGACCCGGTTTCCAGCAGGTGCTGCTCCCCACTAATAGATGGAACCTGCCTGGGGGTGCTAGAGGTGGCTTATTATATCAGCACCTCTAGCATCACCAGGGGTGTGTTAAAAAACAAAGAAAAAAAAAAAGAAAAAAAAAAGTGACCGCCTTACCTATAAGGTGCATTCTGTGGAGGAAGATTGTGAGCACGGCCTCCTGGACTAGTACTACTCTATCCTGCCCGACATCATTGCAGTAGAGCAAGCATCTTTTTTTTTCCCCTTTTTCCTTTCACTCGCGGCACTATAAAATTCAGATTTATGGGACATTGCTGACCCTGTGTCCCACCCCCGATTTCTTTGGGAAGTGGCTAAACCTCGTAATTTCCCAACACTGGCGGAGGTAAAACGGGGGGGAACCCAATACCAGCCACAACGGTTACCTTGTTCAACCAGGGAACATGCAGGAGCTGCACCCACCAGCAGGTGCGATAGCTGCTTCAGAAGCTAGGCGAAACCGGCCAGTTGGTAGCATCAGGACCGAGCTTCTTCGATGGGCCAGTCACTGTGCCTCCCCTCCGGTCCCCTCCCCCTACAAACATCAGCAGTCTCTGCTCAATGCCGCAAGGGGGGACCAACGACCTATCTCTAGGTGGCGGGCGCCACAAAGCTTGCCCAGATGCGGATTGAACCCAGGACCTCCTGAATGCCACTTGCATCCCCTTACCAACTGAGCTAGGCGCTGATAATTCAACCTAAGCAAGCTCTGAAACCACCAGTACATCCAGCTATGGGCCGCAGGTAATTTTCGGCGGCTGCCCGCCCACCGCCGGTTCAACCTCCAGACTTTTCATAGGCGACTCTTTAAGCAAGGCTGGGGTCATGCGCTGGCGGTTTACACTGGTAATTGCGTTAGACTGGCCGCTATGCGTCCATGAACAAGAACAGAATGACATAAGAACACCCACACGGACATACATGCTCAACATGCGTTCGCCTGGCGCCGCACCAGGACTCAATCAAGAGGCTTCCTGTCTCCCACATCCACCTTAGCATACCACCCAGATCAAAGAGGGCCTTTGAAGAAGAAGATGAAGAAGAAGAAGGAGAAGAAGAAGAAGAAGAAGAAGAAGAAAAGAAGAAATGAAGAAATGAAGAAATGAAGAAGAAGAACACACCCTCCAGCTGTGGCCTATACAGGTACAACAGGAACTGAACAGCACCCGCCCTTGTGGTTTTTCTTTTTTAACTAAGTTATATTATTTTCTTAATTTCACCTTTCACTACCTACCTGCAACTAGTGCTAAGCCTATACAGGGGACCCCTGCAAGCATAGCTACCTCTCAAAATTAAGGGGATTCATGTTGGGGCCCCATGGGCGGTGGTCAGAGAGTCAAGTGGGGCCGCCAGTGTGGGAAGGGGGGGGGGGTGCGGGCAGCTAGACCCAGCATTTTGCCTGTATCTGCGCCTCCCATCTACTTTCCCCACCCTCCAGCTCATTACCGCTCCTTGCCTGTGAACTGTGCTCCGCTTCGATATGAGTGCACATGGTCTGCAGTGCAGACCAGGAAGGGTCAGGCTCCCCTACTGGCGTTGCGCCCCCAGGATGAGTCCGTGATCGAGAAGCACCCTCCCTCAGGCCGCCAGACGCTTCGGCATTAACGGCAAAAAAAAAAAAAAAAAAACTCCAAGGATCAGTTGAAGCGCACGTGCTATAGCAGTGGAGCAGGGGCCAAGTCCCACTAGCAGCGTTGAGCTACCTCAAGGCCTGGATCTGGACGTGTTTGTGGAGACGTGCAGTTCAGGAAACTCAACGCCATTTCTGCACATCTCTGAAAAAGCGTCCACATTCAGGCTTTGAGGTAGCTCAACGCTGCTAGTGGGACTTGGCCCCAGGGCGCAGCTGCGAGGGGACGAGTTATCATTTTAACACAAATCTACTTTTGTTTGATGATTTTATTTCAAATATCAAATGCGTAGCCACACAAGGGGTGTATCCCCACCCACCCACCCACCCACCCAAAAAAAGAAAAGAAGGACATGAATCCTCTGCTGTTCAGATCAGGTTTAGAGGCTCGCCACACAGGCTGTCGAAACTCAAAAAGTTTCGACAGGTGTCAGAAAAATTCGAAAGTTGGCCGTCTACAGTTTACCCCCCCTTCGCCACACAGGCTGTCGAGGGGCAAGGTTTTTGGTCATGGCCAGGCGGACGGGTTTCACGGAAGTTGACGGAACAGTCCCTGACAACGCAAATTCAAACGCAATTTTCGAAAGGTCATGGCCAGGCGGACGGGAAACGGTTGCTGGAGGGCTGCTGTCGAAAGGACCATTCTGACAACTATCGAAAGTTTTTTGAGCCGCGATGCAAAATTGTCCAAAACCGGGTTTTCAACAGCCTGTGTGGCGAGCCTCTTGAACATTTCGACTTTAAAGTAAAAAAAAAAAAAAAAAAAAAAAAAAAAAAAAAAAAAAAAAAAAAAAGAAAGAAAGAAAAAAAAAAAGGAACAAGAATGACGCTCCCAAAAAAAAAAAAAAAAAAAAAAAAAACACTCTCGACGCAGCCACCAGGGTGCAGATGACAAAAAAAATCAACAATAGTGGCTCAGCAGCGCGCTCTGTCTGGGCTTGCTTCAAGCGCTGCGGCCGTTTCTGCTACAGGCATGCACACGCGCGAAATTACGTGCATGCATGCTTACGTTCATTGAACAACGTACAGCAGGCTGCCATGCTGGTGGTGCCATGTAGCCAGCGAAGCTATCGAGGTTTCCAAATTTCAGAATCTCGTGCAGATTCTGCAGAAGCAGTTAAAGCATGAGATGCAGTCATTTTTTTTATTATTTTTTTTAAAAGGGCGATGGCCTTGAGGTATTATCATCGGACTAACCAGCCCAGGTAAATTCAATATTGCGTCTAATCTGACAACGGTGGCCTATTCAGCCCAGGGTGGCCTGATAGCCTTAGGGTGGCCTGATAGCCTTAGGGTGGCCTGATAGCCTTGGTGCAATTTATTTTTTTTCCTTCATCAGGGGACAGCCATGTATTTTTCTCTCACCTGACTGGCGTCCTGCCATGGCATGGAAAACCTATATTTCTTTCACTACCTACCTACCACTACTCCTAAGGCTATACAGGGGGATCACGGCCAGAATAGCGGAACTAAAACAATAAATTTAAAAGAGAGACTACCTACCTACTACTACTCCTAAGGCTATACAGGGGGATCTCGGCCAGAATAGCCGAACTAAAACAATAAATTTAAAAGGGAGAGAGAAAGAGAGAGGATAAAAGGAGATCCGAGGATGAAGGGGCGGTACCGGGGCCTGGGGTCGAAGGAGGGGGTAGGGGGGGGAAGGTTGTGGGCCCAGATGATATTCCTTGGCTTACTTGGACGCCCTGAAGGTATGTGATCTTCTATGATGAACCGGGTTGATATGTAGGGGTGTGTTCCCGGGGCCCCGGTGGTCTCATTTGGAATGAAAAGTGCCGTGTTTCTCCAAAAAAAAAAAAAAAAAAAAAAAAACTCAGCAACCACACACACTCGGTAAAGTCTGTTCCC